CGTATGCTACTAAGTAAAGTTGCATCTAGAAAAAAAAATATTTCTCACTGTCAGCCACTGAAACTGTCTTTTGAGTTAAGGACAGAAACATGTTAGTTAACATTGTTTTGGAAGCTTTGACTTACATTTTTTGGTCCTTGCTTTTACCCCTTTTTGTCCATACCTCTTCTTTTCCCTGGCTTTGGCTCCTGCTATTGCTTTTGATCCCTACACTTACCCCTGCTTTCCCTCACTTTTGCCCCACCCCTGCTCCTGCCTGTTTTTGCCCCTCTCTGTCCCCCTGTTCCTACTCACCACCTTTTTTTGCATATTCGCTTGCTTTTGTTCCTGCCCTTACTTTTCACCTACCTCTGCCTACATTTTTTGCCCCTACACTTCATTTGCCCTAGCTCACTTTTTGCGCTATGCCTGCTCTTGCCCCTGATTTTGCCTGTGCCCCTGCCCCCAATCTTGCCCCTACCCATGCCCCAGCTCATCCCCTGGTTTAGCCCATTCTTGCCCCGTCTTGCCCTATCTTGCCCTAGCCACCACCCTTATGCCTCCTTTTGACCTATACCTGCTTTTATTCATTTTTCATTATTGTCCCTCTGCTTTTCCCCCAACCCTACCCCTCCTTTTGCCCCTGCCCTTGCTTTTGCATCTGTTGTTACTCTACCTCTTCTTTTGCCTCAGCCATTGTCCCTACTCTTGCTCCTGATTTTGCACATTTGCCCCTTTTTGCATGCCGCTTCTTTTGTCCTTTCTCCTACCCTGCCCAGCTTTTGCCCCTTCTCCTACCCCTATCCCTACTCTTTATGTGCTGAACGAATGGACTATTTTTGTGAATGGTACGCTTCTGTTCAGCAGTGACCTCTCACTGTAACCTGATGTCCAGTAGCTTGTTTCTTCATGCAGATAATTTACAGTAGGCATTTTTAAATTAATAACCGTAGGCAGTCACTCTGTGTTTGTTTGAGTTGGTCTGCGACGTTTAGCGTTCTGTGCTTACACGGCCACTTCTGAGTCGCCTCCAGCATCCCTGTGTCATTTTCTTGGGAACTGTATATTTATGTGCCTCAAATATCTTCCACTATATATTTAGTTGCCAGATATACAGACTTTCCATTTGAAATATGATGTGAATTTCACTTGACAATGGTGAGTTATTTATCTTGCCTCTTTCATTTCCTAAAAAGAATCAGACAAAACCATAAAACATCATAAAACAAAAGTTGACTTCTAAAATGGACACTGTTCAGTGTTTCCTTTATTCTCTGTGATCAAAATTCCAGCTGTAGGTTGCCATAAAAAGTGACATGAGCTGAAAGTGGGGGAGACATGAATGAAAGACAGAGATCCGAGAGGAGATAAAACATGAGGACATTTTTATAAGGCCGCCACAATGTTATTTATGAACGCTGTGTTTTAACGCTGGATCGCAGGGCCTGTAGTTCTGTGCCTTTTGCTATGATGCATTCTAATACAGCTTCATTGATAATTTAACACCCTCTTCCCCTCGTGCTGAATGTAAATGGCCATTTAGAGGCCATTTTCTAGCCTTCTGTGGCTGTATGATATTCACTGGTCGTCCGGTGTGAGTGCTTTCCCGTATTACCTTTTTTTTCTATTCAAAGCCTGGTGCCAGTCATTGAACCACAGCATTTTTAATTAGGAATTTAATTACCAATAATGCAGTTGATCAACCAGTCTTAATTAATTTATGGAGACAGAGGAAATCAGATCATTATGGGCACGCACACATACACACAGATGCACATACACTTGCAGCGCATTGTATGCTACATTCAGACAATTGACCTGTGTTGTTGCCTGGTATACTCATATACTCATAAAATTAACAGCAAATTATTATTATTACTAGTATTATTATTATTATTACTGAATTTTATTTTTTTTAAAATTAAGAAGTCCCTGTACTTCATTACATTTAAAATGTAAATGTGAAATTACAACATACTACGTAATTATTAGGTGGAAATTTTTTTTTGTTTGTTTGTTTGTTTAGAAGAAAATCTGATTGTCCCACTGTTTCAACCTGCTCTGTAGCAGTGAAGTGTGTTTGTGTGCTTGTGTCTGTTTGTGTGAGATAACCTCATTAGCCCTCGTACACTCCTCCGTCTGCATCTCTCAGCAGATCAAAGCAGGCCCCGCCTGTTCTTGGCAACAGCCAATAAGAGCACTAATCCTCAGTGGAAATATCCCAGTACACTCTGTGTCGTCCAATCACATACTACTTTCACTCGAACATTATCTTCGCATCCTGCACTCCCGCACTCATCCCTGTTCCTCCACTTATCTCTCTCTCTCTATCTGTATCTCTCTTTCTCTCATTTTCTCTCTCTCTCTCTCTCTCTCCCTCTCTCTCTTTCTTTCATTCTCTCTCTTTCTCTCTCTCTCTCTCTCTCTGTCTCTTTGGGCCAGGGGTGTGTCACTTATCTGTGGTGGTCAAACACTCTTCAACACACACACACACACACACACACACACACACACACACACACACACACACATGTGTATACTTTGCAGAATGGGGTCAGACTTGACTCTTGACTCAAAGGCTTCTGGAAGAAGCGCTTCTTTCCTCCCTCTTGTTTCTTGCAGTCTTTGCCTGTTTATCTTTCGTTCGTTTGTTCTTTCTTTCTTGTGTTTCTTATCATAAACATGTGGCCCTCACTTAACAAAATAAGCAAAAAGAATGAGGGATCGCTGGAAAGAAGGTGGGAGAAAAAGAAAGTCAGAAAGAGAGGAGGAAAAGAAAAGTTTGTTTGAGCGTGAGCGGCGAAGCACGTATGGAGCGAGAGAGTTCCAAAACAAGGCCAGCCAAGAAAGAAATTAAAGTACTGCAATTATCCAAGCCCAGAATTAGAAGCAGAGAGGGTTTGGGCTAATAAACATCTGAACAGCACCCGGGGGCCTGCGCTGTCGTTTATTTCTCCGCTGTCTCCCATTAACCGTTCTCTCCCTTTTTTTTCTGTCTGTCGTTTCCCAGGATGTTGTAGGTAGATTTTATTAATTCTTGCTGGCAGAGTTTAATGAAAGGTTGTTGGCTATTTTTTCTCCCCCGTCCCGCCCGCGCCCGATGCGCTGATGTTTCGCTGTTTTCTTTTCCGTTCCCTAATGGCTGCGTCTGGGTTATCAGTAACTCCTGACATATCAGAGGCCAGTAGAGAGCGACCATCAATTACAACCCCCTCCTCACCACAAACCCACCAATACACTGCACAGGCCCCTGAAGACCAACTCCTAATACACACACTCTCCTACATAATCAAAACCACACAGACACATACATGTGGTCAGAGCACATGCATGGGTTCAGAAACACAGCCTTTTTGGTTTTTTATTTTTAAAAAAGTTGTTAATATGTTGGTTAGAAGAAAAGAGTTATGAGAACACAGGTTTGGTTCCTGAGGTCTAGCTGCACTCCTGCTGTTTGATTAGTTAAATTCCATCAATTCCATCAGCAGCACAAAACACTGGGCTTACCCACGCAAAAAAAAATAATAATAATAATAAAAAAAAAATTATTAAAAAAATTAAAAAATGTGTTTGTTCCAGATGTCTCCTCGACACCCCTAGCTATTACATGGATTTTTTGGGTTTTCCTAAAGAGAGGGTTGGAAATGGTTGAGCTAACACACTGAAACAAAAAACATCACTTACTGTAAGAATATTATTTGTATTTATTGTAATATTAGTGTTTTTGGGAGCAAATTAATGCTTACCGACCAGACAAATTGCTTTTTAAATACAGTTTTCCCAGGTACCTACATTTTTTGCACAATGGCATGTGTACACTGAGAAAACACCTGAGAAAATTACATTTAAAAAGCTGTTTATTGGGAGATCGCGAGTTCCGTCCCTGGTGATGCTACAACCATCCATGGCCGGGAGTCCAAGAGAGCATAATTGGCCTTGCTCTCTCTAGGTGGGTAGGATGGCCCCCCTTCTCCCCCCATCACTCAGTGCGATGCTAGTCAGCACAGGCGTCTGTTAGTTGAAGTAACAGAACTGGCGGTTGGTGCTTTCCTCCGAGTGCGTTCAGCTGTTCAATGACGTTGCATCAGCGGCAGTTCGAAAAGATGCGGTGGCTGGCTTCACAGGTCTCAGAAGAAGTCTGTGCTAGCCTTCACCCTCCTAGCACTGGTAGCATTGTGTGATTGGGGGAGTCCTAACTAGTGGGTGGAATTGGATACAACTAAATTGGGGAGAAAATCAAAAAACAAAAAACAAAAAAAAAAACCTATTTATCTGTGCCATAAGTGTTTAAAAAGTTCTAAGTTCCAAGTTTTTGCTCAGAAAAATGACTTGATTTGAAGATTTGAATAAATACAACTAATATTAAAATAATAATTAGTGATTTTATATATGTCATTGTGTTCGCTAAACCATTTCCAAACTTCTCCTCACGGAAGCCGAGTTATAATTGTAGTTATCATCCAATACCTGTTTTGGCTAATCAGTGCTTCAGGAAATTAAATGTGGTGTGCTAGTGGTGGATTTTGACAAATCTGTTCTCTGGCTAGCGGCATCGTGGATAAGTCAGGAACCTAAGTAGCTCTTAACATGTAAAAGTTGTTTGAAAACACATTTCTTTTACATGTTACTGTAATTATGCTTATTTGGTGGAAAAACACACCTACTGTTTAGATAAAATGTTTATACAATTTGCTTATTGAATAAAATGTAAAAGAAAATCTAGAGGTAGAAAAAAGCAGCAAAACAAACCGTCCAAGCTACGCGTACAGCCCTGAGTGAGCCATGATAAAATAATATACTGTCTCGAAATTGCACACCTAGCCGTGCACACACACACACTGTCCCAGAAAGAAGAAAAGCATACTGTGTTAGCAGAGTCCAGAAGGTGGGGGGAGATTTGTGAATCCTGGGAAGATTAAGTGTACAGCTTAGCGCAGGCTGACCTCTGTTTCACGCTTTTTTTCTTTCTCTCTCTCCCTTTCTCTCTCTCTCTGTCTCTCTCTCTGTCTCTGTCTGTCCAGGTAAACGACGCTAAGCTGATCAGGGGGCGGAACCTGCAGTGAGAAAGAGAAAGCCGTGTGGTCGGTTTGTGGGCGTTTGCGTTGTGTGCGTGCGTGTGTGTGTGTGTGTTGTGCTCCGTTGTGCGTCATGCGGGCAGGATGGATGTGAAGGAGCGCAGGCCCTACTGCTCGCTGACGAAGAGCCGGCGAGAGAAAGAGCGGCGTTACACAGGCTCGTCCGGAGACAGTGAGGAGTGCCGCGTCCCCACACAAAAATCCTACAGCTCCAGCGAAACACTCAAAGCCTTTGAGCACGACTCCTCACGCCTGCTGTACGGAACACGCGTTAAAGACATGGTCCACAGAGACACGGATGAATACGGACGCCAAGGTGGGTCACCTGGCCTTAACGCACCTGCACACAGAAATTAGCTGAAATTGCATTTATGCAGATCCCTCATCACGCCAAGTCTGTCAGCCAAGACAAAGTGGACTTTAGGCTGTAATTATATTTTAAAGCAATGGTCATTTAATGGCTTAAATGTAGTTGATCAGCCAAGATATGTTTGCCATCTGATGTACAAAATTTTGTACATCATTGATCTATGGTCTCTATGGACAAAATTACAGAAGTACAGACAAGAAAATTGTACTTAAAATAGACAAATAAATACACATATATAAAAACAGACAAATAGACATTTATGGCATACATACAAAATTCAGACATCAACATATAGCTACTGCAATTTTTAGCTGTGATATGTACTTTTCTTCATTTCAGTTGAGTGGAAATTAAAATTTGAAAAATTAAATTTGCACAATTCTTCTCCCCAGTATGACATACTGTTTTCTATCAGGCAAATTTCAACATTTTTCCAACCTCATCTCAGATGTAGTGTAGCAATCATTATATGTTTGGTACACTGTACAAAAATGGACAGACAGACTACAGTCCCCCCCTTACCCCAGATGTAGACAGTCAGCCAAGACATTGTGATATATAAAATTTACACAATTTCCCCTAACTGAAATGTAATTGACAGGTTTAGTACACTGTTATTTATTATATTTTATAGTATTTGTTTTTTTTTTGTTGTTTTATTTTTTGTGCTTGAAGAGTTCTAGATCCCAGACGTGACGAGGGTATGACAAAACACCTCCCACTTCTGTTATGCACATCAAGAATACTTGCTTGATATTAATCTATTAATTTAATTTTATACTTCAGAATTTAATTTGATTTTATTTGATTTCATAATTCAGAACTATTGGTCCACTATAAAAGTGATATTGCTAAGACTTCCAAATATCCATCAATATATCTGATATCAAAAATAATGCCAGCTGATTTGAACCCTAATAAATTTAGAGACTTTACCGTTTTTAATATTCTGTTTAAATGGAGTTACATAATTAATGACATTTGTTATTGTTATTTAGTTCACATTTACTTCTTCCATTATTTTTTTCCATGTCAAAAAATAACAAAAACATGGCAACAATAACATGCAAATGATGTTATTTGTTTCTGTACACACACCAATAACTTTTCATCAAATTCAGATCATAATAAAATATTTTTTACAAACACAAATGTGATATAGATAAAAAGTTTAGAATCTGCCCTTTGCGCTTTCTGCAGAATTTCTGCTTGTTTCAATAAGCAGAAATTTGACGAATAAATAAACGAGTGAGAAATTAATGTTTTGAAATAACAGCATGCTTTTGTTATTGCCATTGGTAACTGCAGCTTCTAAGGATTAAGAGTTTAACTATAGGCCTACCACACAAACTGCTAAAAAGAATTGAAACTAAACATGAAACTCACATTTAAGATAAGCTTAAGTTTAAGACAGACTTATATTTGTCCACTAACCTAAAAACCCAGCATAGAACTCCCTCTCCCTGGCTTGAACTTCTATATTTGCACTGTCTGTCTGAACACTTCACGGCCCATCAGCAATAATAAATGGTCCCTTGACGACCTAAACTGTTTTACTGTACTGTTTCACGGCCCAAGTGTGCCTCAATTGGTTACAGTCACTTTTATTCCTAATTACTAAATGCAAATGGTGCGCGTGCAGTCACCTATCTTTCATTACATAAACTTCTCCACAGTAATTTACATCTATATTTATGGTTAACCACATTTAGTAGACATTTATTCAGGGTGGCTTATAGCAATGCTTCAGGGTCTGCTTGGAAAACCAAACCTTAAGCTAGAGCAAATAGGCCAATCAGAGTCTAAAGATACCCTCAAACTAGAGGTGTAATGGTTGACGGTTTCACAGAATGGTGCCTTACCCAGCTCTGCACAAAGTTTATTTCTTCGTACATCATTGGTGCCATGTGTGTACTGAAATGCAGTGTTTTTGGAATTTACTACCAAGGCTTAAAATGGGCGCGTATCGGTTGGGGAGGTAGGAGAGACTTTGGCACAGAACATTGCTGGAAGCATTGGCTGTGTTGTTGGTAGCCTGCGAATTGAATACGGAGCAGAGCGCTCTCTCAGTGAGACAAATAAAAAATCATGGTTCACATCATGTGCATCATGAGCCAAACTGTAGGCTGCAGAGTTGTGGATTTCACTTTCAATTCAGAACCGTTACACCACTACCTCAACCCTAAGTAAAACATTGTCTGTCTGTCTAGTATTTTACGTTCTGTATTGCTGTTGTAAGTCAACTTCGTGTTTGAGAAAGGTGCTACACAAATAAAACCTAATTATTGTTTATTAAGACAGTGTCAGACCCAAGATTTAATCGCAGACAATTTAGTCCCATTTGTTTTTTATTTTTTTCCTTTCTCTCATCAAGGCTGCATCCGAATTTGCACGAGTAAAGGTGAGTGTGTAGCAGTGGATGCTGTAGAAAGGGATCTACGGTGACTTCCCAGTGTTGTTAGCTCAGTAGCAGTGGTGCTGAAGCAGGGAGCCCTGAATGCATGTGGTGGGTGTGTGTGTGTGTCTGTGTGTCTGTGTGTGTGTGTGTTTGTTTTCATATATTTTTAGAATAAAAATGTCCTGAAATAAAAATCAGAAAAATAGATTAACCCACAATTTTACAAAGGCACCATGTATCATTTTTTTACATGAAAAAAAAAAAATTGAGCAAAACCATTTCTTTTTGGTTCCTGAGGTTAGGATTATGCTTAGGTTCAGGGTTTGTCTTAGACAACTCGGTAACACTTTCTATGATGCCCGTATTTATAAGCCATTACAAATGTGCCTATAATGCTTTGTAACTTGGTAAGAATGCCTTGTAAGTGTATTTATAAGCTCTAATAATGCTTCATAAGGCTCTATAATTAATTCTTTGATGACTCATAAACATGTAGCAACATAGTTATAATGCCTATTAAATGGATAATGACATTATAAAAATTATAAAAAAAATTACAGTTAAAAAACCATCACTGAATGCTTCGAGTAAAGTGATTGATATTTTGTTCTTCTTCTTCTTCTTCTTCTTAGTATTATTATTATTATTATTATTATTATTATGTTACTGTTATACTATTATACTACTTATTATTGTACTATAAACTTTATTTTTGTAGTGTGAGGTGGAAACATTTAATTCCAAAATAATTAATTCTTAATTTTTTGAAAATGTGTTTGTCTTACAATATTCGAATATGACCAGAATGCATAAGGGGCACCTAATTAACCTTGCAAAGTGGGACGGTCTCCCATCTGATCCTGGAATAATAAAATAAAAGTTATACAGCATGTTATATAGCACACACTGACAGACACATAAACATTATGTCACAATTAACATTCACATTTGATTGACTTAAAATATCAATCATTTTAAGCACTCAGTGATTGAATTTTTAATGTTTGTAATGTTTATATAATTGTTAATAAGTATTATGCATACATACATACATCATCTAAACCGCTTATCCTTCTGGGTCAAGGTGGGGTGCTGGAGCCTATCCCAGCTGTCATTGGGCGTAAGGCAGGATACACCCTGGACAGGTCGCCAGTCCATCGCAGGGCAGACAGACAGACATACACAGTCACACACTCACTCACACCTAGGGGCAGTTTAGCGTGTCCAATCAGCCTGACTGCATGTTTTTGGACTGTGGGAGGAAACCGGAGTGCCCGGAGGAAACCCACGCAGACATGGGGAGAACAGGCAAACTCCACACAGAAATGACCCTGGTCGCCCGGCCGGGAAAATAAGTATTATAGATGTTTCATAATTTTATACAGGTCCATTTAAAAGCATTATAATGAATAGTGACATTTGTGTTACAATGTTTATAAGTCATCAAAGAATGAATTATAGTACATCATTACAGCCTAATGAGGCATTATTAGACTTTGTAAGTGTTTCAAAGCAGTGTTACCAAGTTGCAAAGAGTTATAAGCATATTTTTAATTAATTATGACTACAGACTTGACAGAAAGTGTGAGCCGCAACTCTTATTACATACTGTTGCTGTTGGACAAAAACCTGCTTAACTTTCAATGTAAGATCATGTAAAAAGGTATTATTTCAGGCAATTTTGGATCATTTCTCCTGGTTCATTAGAAATTTTTCACACACTATAAAGGGCATTTGCCCTTAAAATTATGTCAGAAATGACACGCACATCATGTACAAAAGTTTGAACACCCTCAGTAAATTACACCTCAGTGTAATTTTTACATTTCAAATTTCAATGCACAACCAACATAACGGACCAACATTCTCCTTACCAACATATTAATAACTTTACGGAAAACAAAACATTCTTGTTTACTGTATTTATGTTAATTTGTATTTATTTGAAACATTTTATATTGTTGTTTTTTCTGGCAAAATTCTATTTTTTTTAGGACTTACTGTACATTCTTCCATAATGTTGAGATAGATAATGTTAAAATGACAGGTGTGTGTGTATGTGTTTATGTGAGTGTGTGTGTGTGTGTGTGTGAGTGAAGGTTAGCCCACCCCTTATCAGTCACTGTGGCGCTAGCGGCTCTCAGTCTGTCGGGTGTGTTTATTTTAGAAACTGGCAAAGTGGCAGTGACACCACATTATAGTGGGACATAAAAGGTGTGGCCTAACTCAGACTGTTAATGTTAGCCCACTATTAATAGAGGGAGACTGAAAAGCCGTGAAAGAGAGAGAGAAAGCACAAGAGAGGGAAAAAATGAAAGGAAAAAAGAGAAAAGGGGGAGAGAGGGAAGAGAGAGAAAGAAAAATAGAGAGAGAGAGAGAGAGAATATCCGGAGTGAAAAAGACAAGGGAGAGAGAAGTGAGAAAAAGAAAGAAACAACAAGACAAAAAAGAGCAGGCGAGAAAGAGAATAGAGAATGAAGACAAGGGAGAAAGATAGAGTGACAAAGAATAAGAGAGAAGAGAAAGAAAAAAGAGCAAGAGAGAAAAA